CCCGCCGCCCCCCCCCCCGCCCCCCCCCCCCCGCCCCCCCCCCCCCCCCCCCCCCCCCCCCCCCCCCCCCCCCCCCCCCCCCCGCCCCGGCGATGACTTACAGGAAACCTAGTAGAAAGATGAACATTAGAGCGATCTTTGTGCGCTTGGGTATCTTCAAGTCGATGAATATCCTCATTGGTAGTGCCAATATGAGTATATCGGTGACGATATTGAATACCGACGAGATGGTGAAGAGTATTCTCCTGTCAATACATGTCCCCTCCAGACTAGTATTCCAGGCCTTACTGATGGGGATGCACTGCAGTACGGTGCCGAAAAAGACTGCAATCATCATTCCCATATTGGCTGTGTTCACCCAGATGATAAAACGCTTCACACCAGGCTTCTGTCCAAACAGGCGCAACAACAATAGCAATATTGACGTCTTCACCAGCGCTAAAATAGGATTGTACAGGATTTCAATGGCATAATTCCAGACAAGGCCTGGTACAGGGTCGTGGGGAGGGATATCTTGCAACCTGATCCCTATGAAGTTGGTCCTGATAACTTTAGGTATGTCAGTATATGTACGCAGAACGATATTATCGCACTTTGACGACTAACACATATAACTTGCTGCCGTCTCCAGCATTGATAGTACCTATAATCCATCAGTTTATTACCCTTTTGAGTAGGTAGGAAGCCGAGGTTGCTTACCATGGCTATGCATACCAAGGTATCGTCTGTATCACACGTTAGCTGCTTATTCGAAACATAAGAGAGCATGTTACTCGCCCAGCCCAAATTGATGCGATGATAGCCTGCCAGCTACCCTGACACATAATACGATGAAGGCAAGAGCCGTAAAAGCAACGATGATCCCTATTGCGAGGCGTTGCTGCGTACTAGAGTAGCTGAATGGGTCCGTGGACGGCACAGCCACCCCCGTGGTATTGTCGGCAGTAAGCTGCTTATCAGTTGAAGGCAATAGAGACATGACTAGAGAGTGTGCCATGTTAGCGAGCGTGTTACGCTTGCCAACCAAGCGCACAGATAGAAAGCACAAGAGGAAGGAAGAATTAACTCTTGCCGTAAACTCATAACGAGAGGGCTAAGTCTTCAGATATAGTAGTGTAGTATCCTCGAGGAGGAAGCAAGATTGCGGGTTGATGGCGGGTTGGGAGTGATCTACGCCCAGCGTTGGACTAGGTGAGCTCCGCGGACGGCATCATAAAGACTGCCGGATAAATCAGCCTCATGTGTCAGATGGATCGCACCGGATCGCCACATGGCCGGCCATGAACGATAATCACAAATAATCCAGCGTATCAGTCGAGGGCTTTGCACTTGGGTATCTATACTCTTCGGTTCGCCCTCTCCAGGCAGGAGATGATAGCCAAATCGCCCAGGCCATGCTACGGTTCGTGGCAGCAAAGGCAGATAGAACAGGCCTTCAACATCATGTGTCATTGGGGCGTAGGCCTCACGAACGACAGCCAAGTGCCTTCCGGGCTGTTCTACTCTACTACGCCGGGGAGGTATATGGCGACTTAGTTATCTAGTAGATCTCTCGCCTTGGGCTCTCGGTATATGGCGGCCCACCCTGAAATCCTTACAATCTGGATCGTGATGAGGGTGCGGGTGCATCCGAGAGTAGTGCGAAGATGGGATGAAAAAGACCGAAAAGCCTAATAGTGAAGATCAGACGATGGGACGACGTCAATTCCAAAGCAGAGTTCATGCTCGCCATAGTAGCTTGGTGGAGACATCGTATTCCTTGAAACCCGCTATCTGGATAGCTGAGTGCTGGACGACAGAGGGTCTCGAGGTGCGGCTGCCCAGGCCTCCGGCCGATTAAAAGGCCGGTTGAATAGTCTGGACTGTCGCATGTGCGCGGGTGCGAGTAGACTACGGTCAAGACGGTCTGCCCCATCCGTGCGCACGCAAGGTGGACCGATGGGGCGACGCATGAACACACTCTGCATAGTCGTGAGAATCATTCCCGCCTGTTGTTGCCAATCAGCGCACCTGAGCCGCATCCCTCTGGCGATGACGAGGCCGTTGTCTGTGTGTCAGATTCTGTCGATGAAATCCTGGATGATGTGCGTGCCAATCTGGGGGATGGACTGGGGCTGCAGGGTATCTGGGGCATATACCTCGCTCCCTGCCAACCTGGCTAGGAGCGACGAATACCTACCTACTTACCTACCTGCCATTGTGTAGAGTGCCACCTTGAGATTGCTACCTCCTTACCATAAGTGATCATCGTAAGTATCGTAGCCCCAGCGTTCTCTCCCGCCGGGACATGTTGGTGCGCCCAGGTAGGCGACATGGCAGGACAGCTAATCAACTCTGGGGGCACATCTTTGAGGGCACATCTTTGAGAGCACAGTTGTGGTAGTAAGAAGGACATCTAAAACGCTGTGCAGGCATGTAGATAGCGGCGAATAGAGATGGCACTCGGGATTGAAGCAGCACAAGGTTATGACCGTAGTACCTACTACCAGTTGCGGGCAGGCAATTGGCTGCTGTACTGGTTGTCAAGCCATTGTCGTGCGGGTCGCAAGTACTTACTTACGTTCCTCCTCGTTGAGCTCTCCTTCCTTTCTCTCGGGTTTGTGGAGCAGGATAACACCTGAAACACGCGGCACGGGCACGGTAACTTCTCGCCACCCGTCACAACGTCACAGGCGAATTCCGGCCCTCACTCAGCTCCGGTCACGACAGAGAATGGCTGCGGTAGTTCGATTATACCGACATCCTATGCTGTGGCCCTCTCGCGGATGTCCCCTACAAACTGGTCATAGCTAGCCGGCCTTGACTTGAACACCTGATTTGGGGATGAGGTCACTCCATCCGAGGGGTCAATTGTCCAGTCTGTCCGGGGATGCAGGGGCTGCCGGACCACCAAAGCGTTGTCCGCAGAGAGCCTCGACATAATGTTTTATCAATCGCCAGACCTCCAAGGTGAGATGGCCGAGTGGTTATGGCGCTGCGTTCAGGTACCTGAGCAAATTTCGCAGTGGAGCAATCCGCGTGGGTTCGAGTCCCACTCTCATCATCAAATTCAACTATTCTGATGAATAGTCTTTCTTTTATCATGTCACTGAATGGTTCCTTTTTTATTGTTATTTTTCATAGTGGCCGAGACTGCCGAGTGCGGTTGTGTGAATCGTGTCAACGATGTTCTACGCAGTCAGGTCTGTAAGACAGGTACGAGGGCAGTGTATTGGGATACCCCCCTCACGCTGGTTCCCATCTCTCATACAACAACAATTGCTGCCCACATTCGTCCTATCACAAGGCCGGGTATCCTTGAGGTCTCCTCATATTTTATCTTGATTCATGATCAAGAGGGAGATATACTCCGTACTGGCTGTCAGCTGATGACAGCTGCGGATCAAGGTGGCTCTACCGTCCCTATTGGACCCCTGTAGCGAAAGTGAAGCTACCTAAACTAATATCACTGACACCTGGTACGAGCTACGTAGCTCAACGACTCTATACAAATGCCCCGACCATCATAGCACGCCCTAACCCCCCAATCGCCCACTGGGACGCGCCGAACACCACACGCAACGTCCCCGACCATGGCGACGCCCGACACCTCGACGCTGACGAGCTCGGCGCAGATCTTTACCTCGCACACGCTGCCGCAGATCCGCGCCGTGCACAAGACGCTGCACACGCAGATCGACGAGAAGTCGGCCCGCCTGCGCACCCAGGTCGGCGGCAGCTACCGCCAGCTGCTCGGCACCGCCGACACCATCGTGCGCATGCGCGGCGACATGCGCGCCGCCCAGGGCGCGCTGGCCCGCATGGGCGGCCGCTGCAGCCGCGCCGCCGTCGACGACAAGGTCGCGGGCCTGGCGCACTTCCGCGGCGCCGAGGATGCCGACGCCACGCTGGGCCGCGCCGCCCGCGTCAAGCTGCTCCGCGCCTGCGGGCTCGCCGTCGGCCGGCTGCTGAGGGCCGGCGGCAGCACGGGCAGGGACAGGGATAGGGACAGGGACGGGGATGCAGAGGGCGCCGGCGGCGGTGGCAGGGGGGACCGGCTTGTGCTGGCCGCCAAGGTCTTCGTGCTCAGCCGGCTGCTTGTGTCCAGCTTCGGGGACCTGGAGACGGAGGAGGAGGAGATACGGAGCGCGGTCGAGGCCGCGAAGAAGAGCCTGGACGGCCTGCGAAGGAAGCTGGCGCGCGCGGTCGAGAAGGTCCTGCAGAGGGTCGGCGAGAGTGCCGACATCGGCGATGTCCTCAAGGCCCTGTCCGCGTACAGCCTGTCATCGAGCTCGGGCACTAGGGACGTCCTGCGGCGGTTCCTGAGCATCAGGGCCGAGGCGATCACGTACGAGTTCGACTACGAGGAGCACGAGAAGAGCAGGGGCGCGGAGAACGTCCTCAGGGGCCTCGAGCTGTATACAAAGACGCTGATGGATGTGCAGGCGCTGATCCCGAGCAAGTTGCCCGAGGCGCTGCTGGAGCTCAAGAAGAAACCGCTCCTGGACGACGAGTCGCTACGCTCGCTGGAGGGCCTCAGACTGGACATTCTCGAGAGGTGGTGCGGTGATGAGATTCGGTACTTTACGCCCTTCATAAGACACGATGACCTGGACGGACAGCAAGCTAAGGAGATGCTCACGAGCTGGGCGAAGAGGGGTGGGGAGACTGTGCTTGGCGGTCTGCGCAAGACTCTCGAGTACATTTCCGATTTCAAAGCTATCACAGAACTGCGGACAAGTACGCTACAGCAGTGGATCAGGAATGGCGGGAAGGCTAGGGGATTTGATCCCTCCATCATGCTCGACGGCCTGCGGAAAGCCATCAATGGCCACCTCCTACAACTCATCGAAGCCAAGGTCGCTAAGCTCAAGCTTATCGGGTCTGAGGTTGCGGCTACCCTGGAGGCTTGGCAATCGGGGATAACAGATCGCCAGCGCGGCCTGTGGGACGCCGAAATGGTCGGGCTGGACTTTTCTGTCGGCGCTGCTCAAGTCACACACGAAGTCGTATCCCTCGTTTATGGACGGAATGACGCCGTGGCGCGAGCCGCCACGGGGTACGAGTCGTGGCACCACACCATCGACAACGTTGGGGATCTGGTAGAGCAACTTAGACGGCAGAGATGGGACAACGACGTTGATGAGATTGAAGACGAGGAAATCATTGAGACGAGGCAGGACCTCTTGAGCAAGGATGACCCGCAACAACTACACGCATGTCTCGAGGATACACTCAGAAAGGCGTTCGGGGACTTGGATGAACAGCTCACGACGATGTGGAAAGCACGGAAGGATGGGCTGGACAACGGGCCGGTCGCCATGTACTTCCTCCGAGTAATAAGGGATATCCGCGCCCGTCTGCCCAAGCTCGAGGGCGTGCAATCTTTCGGCCTGGGAAATGTCCCATCTCTCCATGAGCAGCTCGCAGCCCACGTGTCCGTGACGCCGTTGGAAGAGTTCACCGCGGGGGCGCTGACGCAGAGACGGGTGGCCGGCCGTGCGCTGTGGGAGGGCGAGCCGGCCCTGCCCACCCAGCCCTCCCCCAGCACGTTCAAGCTCCTGCGGAACATCACCGTGTCGATGGGCAGTCCCGGGGTCGATCTGTGGACCCCGGCCGCCGTCAAGACTCTAAAGCGCGTCTTTGGGCAGCAGCTTGCAGACGTCTGGCGCGAGGAGCTTGCGGCATCCGTTCCCAGCGCAGAAGAGACGGAGTCGACTTCCAAGGCAGGTGAAGATGAGAAAGACGACACGTCGGCCGAGGACGACGAAGACAATAACAAAAACAAAACTAGCGATGAATCGACTGAGCGTAACAACAACGTCTTCATTCAGTGGCTGTTTGACGTCTACCTGCTGCAGCACTATCTCAACACCAGCGGCGACTCGGATAAAGCGATGAAAGATCTTACTTCGGAATTATTGGGGAAGACGGGCCTCGACAGCCAAGCAGAGGGCCGCCTTGCGAAAGCGTCGCAGGATTACTGGAAGAGGACAAGCCTGCTGTTCGGCTTGCTAGCGTAATGATACCCCCCTTCTGAGCGCGTTGATAAATGAATTCTTGGGTTGTAGTCTTCGCATGTATATAGCCTATACAAAGGATCGGCCAGCTCTATATACAACTCTAGCATGACCTAAAAACCCATTCGCGCAATATCTACAAAGCCTGTCTCCCCTTCCCTTGCACACTCCTCAAACTATATCCCGCTCCGAAACAAACAAAAAAGCCCCCCCTCCGGATCTCATAGCTTGTGCCTCTTCTGCCCCGAGGCGATCTTCTGGAACTCCCGCTGGGGGACCCCGCTGATGAAGCGGTCCAGCCCGGCAAAGACCTCAGCGACGTTCTGGCGGTCGAGGATCTCGCGCTCGGGCGCGCGGATCAGAGCCTTGATGCCGGTCAGGGAGTCGCCGTTGAGGTGGTCGCCGAGGCGGTCGTCGACCTCGCGCAGTACCTGGCGCATGAAGGCGGCGTCGTCCCCCTTGTCGCAGGGGAAGACCCGGTTCACGTAGCCGGCGGCGAGGAGCTCGTCGGCGGGGATGCGGCGGCTCATGATGAGGGCCTCGTTGGCCCGCGCTATGCCGAGGCGCTGCACGAGGGCGCGCGAGGCGCCGCCCTCGGCCACGAGCCCCAGGGACGAGAAGGGCGTCAGCAGGAAGGCGTGTGGCGCGGCGTAGACGAAGTCGGCGAAGGCGGTCAGCGCCGCCGACAGCCCGATGGCGGGCCCGTTGAGCGCCGCGATCAGGATCTTGGGGTGCGCGTAGAAGGCCCGCGTGATGTCCAGGTTGTTGGCCACGAAGCTGCGGAGCCACTCCCGGTACGGGTCCGCGCCGGGCGGGAGATCGCGACCGACGGAGACGTCCGCGCCGCTGTTGGTTCCCGGAGGGGGCCAAGTCAGCAGAGTGGTTTTACGTGTATTTTGTGGGGTAGATATTTTGGGGAGTAAGAGCCAACATAAACGATACAAGACACATGGGTTGGGATGGTCGTAAGGTGTAATAAGCCCGGCAGCCCATCGTGCAAAAGCCATGCAAGTTCCATCTTTACGTGGCTGCATGTGCTTGCTGGAGAAGAGAGAGCGAATGGGGCGACTCACGCGGAGAAATACCGGCCTTTCCCGGTCAGTATGGTGATGTGTATGTCGTCGCGTAGGGCAATTTCTCGTAGGGCTTTGGAGATGGCATAATACCCGTCCATGTCCAACGCATTGAGCTTCTTGTCGTTGTCGATGGTGATGGTGGCTATCCGCCCCGAGTATGAGACCTTGATTTTATCCGCCATTGTGTGTGTGTGTGTGTGTGTGTGTATGCCTATTTCCCTCTCTTCTACAGTCAGCTCAGGTAGTTGTAGTTGTACTTGTTATATCGGCGTCGGGGCCTGTTTGTTGTTGTCTCGACGGAGGGCTTCAAGACGACTCAGATAGTGTAGGTACCTAGGTAGATAGACGGCTAACCCGCATCCGTGGACGGGGGAGGCTGGGGCGGCCCCACAGAAATAAAGCCGAGGCTCTTTCTGCGCGACCCACGACAGCCCGCACCCCAGGTTTTCCTCCACAAACCCCAAGTCAGGCCCAAGTCGGGGGACCCAATTTACCTCGGGAGGATCTACCTACTATTTACTATCTAACCCAAGTACTCACGTGCGTACGCGGCTACGCCATTTCCCCGTTGCTGCGAGCCAAACGCTCCACACACCTCACGGCGGGAAGCAGCGGGTCGGTGCCGTCGGCGCAGTAGCTTTTGTGCTCGGCAGCGGGGAATCCGATAGTGATAGTGCAGATGGCTATATCGGGCACCGGAGCATGGGGACTGTAGATAGATTGGCCAGGATGGTGGTTCTTTCGTGGGCGTTCATGTCATCTGAATCACTTGCATAGGGTGTGACTGGATTTATAGAACAAAGCCATACACCATATATAACCTACTCATGGATACCTGTGGTGGACCTCAATCGCCACGGTCGGGCCAATAATTGCATGTACGATGCCCGCCGCCCAATTATTGCGCCATCAGCCTAAGCTGGTGCACGGTGAAATGCCAATGTTGCTCCTGCCATATCAACAGCCAT